ATATATTAAAAGATTTTTACAAAGGCCAAACGGCCTCGACAAAAAATACAAAAAAGCAAAAACATCTACAAAGCATCTAAGGAATCTGGTCCTCACCGGAGCCCGCCTCATCACCTGGACCATCAGGGTCTTCTTCGCTCGCCGATCTGCCAGAACCCTCGGAGTCTTCTTCATCCTCGGGGTATGCCAACTTATTGGCCTCGGCCTCTAGCCCCTTAGCACTTTCGATCTCGGCCGATAAATCAAAACCCCGAGCATGAACCTCCTCGAGGGCCTCCCTTCGGGACTGCCACTTCACATATTTAGCAATGTCTTTCAGGCGGTCCTGGGCTACCTCAGCATCGGCTTTGTACTGGGCCACATCTCATCGGCATCGGCCTTGGTTATTTCAGCCACCGACTTGGCCGCTTTAAGCTCCTTGGAGAGGGTCTCCCAATCGGCAATAGCCGAGCTCAGTTAAGACTGGAGATCTTCAATTTTCTGGGATCGGGCCTCAGCCTTCTCCCTCATCGCTCGAAGTTGAGCCTCCATCGAGGCCAATTACGCCCGGGCAGTCTCCTTTTCCGAGGCCAAGCGGTCCATCTTGCCTTTCTACTCTTCGGCCTCGACCTTGATTACATTCATCTAGGCCCGACGTTGGTCGATCCGATCAATCTTCTGTTAGACTTGTGGGTTCTAACCATTAGTCACCTTGTCTATCTCACCTTGTTGGCGTGTTCTTTTCGAGCCACGTCCAACTCGGCTCGAAGGGTCTTAGCCTCTCCTTCATGTTGCTCGCTGAGAAGTTTGTACATGTCTCTCTTCTCAACAAGCTCTTTGACTTCGACCTCGAGTTGGCTCAGCTCATCCCGATACCGGAGGAAGGTTTCATGGTGAAGCAACGAGGCCTGCAAATATGAGAAGAAATATTAGAATCGTCAAGAAACTAAAACTGAAAAATGAAAAAATTTGGTAACACCTTACCCGGTTTAGCGCCTGTTGTGCTTCGTTGAATAGGCATAGGGCATCGACCTCGTTCATTTTTGCCTAATCTTCTTCTGTTACCAAGCACTGGAGGTAACTAGCTATCCCAACGGGGGCGAAAAGAACCCGGGTATCCTCCGAAACGGTGATAATAATTGACCGCTTCCGACCAGGATCCGCACTCGGGGCAAGGAACCGGTTGACCAGTTTAGGGCTTGAGTTAGGCCCACCTGCCTCTGAGGACGAACTTTTCCTCGGTACCTCTAAGTCACCTAACTCGGTGGCATCCTCCATGGCGGTGGAGTCCATGCAGTCAAAATCACAGCGGAGGGGGTCGCCCACCTCGTGGGCCCCCTCGTTGAGTTGTTCTTTCACCATTTGGGACTCGTTGTACATAGACTCGGTAAACGAGGGTGACTCGGTGATGTCTATCACACCAGATGCCTCCTTCGGGGCACTGCCCGTATCCCGGGAAGATTCAGCCATGGCCTCCTCATCGACCTCCCTAGCCTGATGAAGATCAACCTCGCAGGTCTCTAGTTCAACGGCCCCCACTCTTCGAGGGACGACGGTTCGCGGGCCACAAAAGGCTCTTCCCCCTCGGACTCGTCCCTAAGCCGATAGAGCAAATTCGAAGTTGGTGCTCGGGAGCTGGTGTTTTCCTTCGGCTTGCGCACCAGCCTTCTCCTTGGTTTCTTTTTCTCCGAGCTCGGGGAACTCGGAGCTCTCCTCCTTTTCCTATCTCCGGTCAGCCCCGAAGCGGGAAACTCAACAGGCAAGTCCTCGTCACGGACTGGAGGCCTAAGCTTGATGTTCTTAGGCAAACCTGCAAAAGAAAGTAAAAGAAATAAGGACTTGATGTTAAAAGAAGAAGCCTAACACATCCTACTCAGGAAAGGAATCTTACCATGGGAACGGGCCTCCCAATGGCCCTTCGAAAGTTTGCGCCACGAGCGCTCGGAGTAGGGCATCTATGAAACGATACCTTTGACCCACTCCTAGAGTCGAGGGATAGCATTTGGGACTCGAGCGACGGTTGCACCACCATGAATACCAATGAGAAAAAGAGAAGTGAACATAAAATCAACATTTGAAGGAAAGTTTTACTTACGTGATGCATTCCACTTCTCGGGGAATGTCCTGAATTCAGCCGGAATCAAGACTGAAGTCCTCAACGGACAAAATGGCCTTGCCAGCCTTGATCCCGGTCCTCATCGATAATTGAGAACGGGACTTTATTGGCCCGGCACACAAGCTTTATCAGCCCCCCACGGAATATTCGGGGACAGTACAAAAGGAGTAGGTGATCCACAGTAAACTGGCTAGAGTCGATTTGTTCACAAAAAACTGAAGGAGGATCACAATCCTCCACAGTGAAGGATGAATCTGACCGAGGCATACCTCGTATCTCTTACAGAAATCTATAATGACCGGGTCCACAGGTCCCAATGTAAAGGGATAAGTGTAAACACTCAGATATCCCTCGACATAGGTGGTAATGGCCTCTTCGGAGTCGGGGACCACTATGTCTTTGTTGGCCCAGTTGTAGTCTTTTCAGACCATGGGGAGGACCTCTTCGGTAATTGAGCAGATGTATCTCGAGGCCTCCTCACGCCGACCCTGTACAGAAGAAGGTTTCTCAATCTTGAAGTCACCGGTGACCGAACAGCTGCCGGGAATGTACATTTTCAAGGAAGGCTCTTCCGCCGGTTCATTAACAACCATATCGGGGGCGGTCTCTTCGACCTCAGTGGTCGGTCGCGAGAAAGAAGGAGCATCCTTCTGAGGAACAAATTTTGAGATTTTTGCCATTGTTAGGAAAGAAAAAGCTTGGAAAAGAAGAAGAAAGATTTAAAGTTGAAGGGTCAGACTTGTTGGCTTGAGTAGGAGATGAGTAAAAGTTTTTGCGAAGTACTGAAGAACCTTGAGTAACGGAGGTAAAAGCGCTAGAGAATATTGAAATCCTGAAGGAACGAAGGTAGAAGATTTGGTGTAAAGTGAAAAATGGACAAAGGAGGGGATATTTATAAGAGTTCAGCGATGTTTCGCGTTTAGGGAAAGTCGACCGGCGGCCGACATGCATTTAATGCCATTATGACATGACTAACGAGACATCTCGGGTTTATTGTCATTTTCGCTGCGATGTATCGAAGTAAGAATTGGGAGCTCATGTCGTTTCTCGTCATTTACTCTCCGAGAAACGAGGGGACTATCTGTATACGGGTAAAACCGAGCTCATGGTGCACCCCGATCTCTGACAAAATAAGCCAGGCTCGAGACATGATGACAAGGGACCAAAATCGAGGCAAAATTCTCGTGGAGTCAGAACCCGGGGGCATGACGCCTGACCTCGAGAATATTGGGGTCATGGTTCCGGATCGGTCCTAGCCTCGAACGACTTCGAAGAACATTGTCGGGTAATCAAGCACGACCAACAGAAGGCATTAATATCCATGACCGGCCGGATATCACGGCGGGGATCTCGGCACATATCGATGAGGAACCGGCAATCAGTTAATCAGAGGATTCTTTTACCTTTTATAGAGTTGTACCTAAAGTAGGACTCCCTACTATATAAAAGGGGTCTGATAATTCATGAGGACGTGGTAACACGCATTCCAAAGCAATATATTATTATTTTTTCTGTTATTAGCTCTTTCTCTTGTTCATTAGTGCTGGCCATAGTGAGCCCGGATCGATGGTGAATATTTCACTAAGGCTGAAACTATCCTACTCGTGTGGTTTGAATCCATTTTATCTTTGTTTGTTTAATATTGACTTAATTTATCGCTTTGTATCAAATTAATCCGCGTATTTTTAAAACCACTTACAAATTTAATTGTTATCCGATTTTGAGGGTAAACAAAGATAATAAATATTTTAATCGGTACATTTTTACTTTGCATCCTTTACTAAATATCCTTGATGTTTTGTGGGTTTATCATATTCTTAATAGTTATATGATCATGCAAGTTAACCCATTATTAATCTTTCAAGTCTTCCAGCCACAGTGGCAAGAACGCTAAAGTACATACCAGAGTTAAAGAAAGAAGTAGAAAGACTGACACAAAAGAAAGAAGATCTCACATTAAGATCAATCCCTAAGAAAGAATATTCAGCTGATTTCAATAAGCAAACACTAAGAGGAAGAATTCAGAATTCTTTATCAATTGTCTCAGCAAATCAAGTAGGAGATAGAGAAATCACGATTCAAATATCTATTTTGAAGACCAATAAGAGTTCGTTTGCTGAAGCTATATCAGAATTAGAGGAGGAAGAACTTCACCTACTAATTGCATCTTGTTTTCAGACCTGCAAGATAGAGTTTTCTACAATTTGCATTTTCCGGTATTAATATAAACTTCACTCTCTTTCTTCTCTCCATCTTTCTGTTTGGCTTGAGTTTAACTTCGAAAATTAACCTAAATAGTTATCACTCAATTGTTTAAACTAAAGCCGTCGGTGGAATATATATATATATATATATATATTGTTTCAGGAAATCAAATCGAAATCAATTCATTCAACAATTGCCCCCGGGACATTCTGTATCGGATTTTGCCAACATCGTTTCACCTTCCTTGCTTTCTGTTCTGTCTTGCATATATATAGTATAATTTATACATGCCAATTAGGAAAAGTAAACGTTGTATTCAGCAGACTCTTTGCATAAGATTCCTTTAACTTATATATACTATACGTGTATTTAAGTTAAATTCAAAAGGAAATTGGTATATTTACTCAAAAAGAAATTAATATCCTTTTTTGTTTTTCTTTTGACCCCTATTATACGAGACGTATATTTAGGGGCGGATCTACGTTGCAAGTTAGGGGTATCACGGCACCCGCTCGCTTCGCTAAAATTTCTACCATGTACATAATATCTCTGTGAAAAACCGTATAAATCGATAAAATGGCAACCAAAAGTCACAAAGTGGAAGTGGGTGTCATTGGTTTAGCCTTCCCTTTGAAGGCTTTTCTTGGCCTCAAGAATGCAAGTTCGATTCCTTGTTAGAGCACCTCCTTTGATTTTTTCTTTTTTCTACTTATTAAGATTTCTTTTATTTTTAGTTGAACCCTAGGGCCTCATATCTTTTCCTTCTTTTTCGATTTTTTTCCTCCTTTTATTACTTGTTAAGTCTCTCTTCTTCATTTTTTTAACTTTCAGTCCTCATTTTGTTTCTATCATTATACCTTACTTTATAAACAATTATTTTCTATAATAATTTTAATTAGAATATAATTTTTTTATTTTTAATAAAACGATATTAATTTATATATTGAAATATAATTTGAGCAATATCTTCTATTGGGTTTTTAAAAAAATTAAATGGCTTGATTGATAGTCGTTTTGAGTTGAATATCATAGGTTGAATGTTGAAGGTTTTTCTTTGAAAATAATTGTCATATAACTCAACAATTAAGATGGAAAAATAAACAAAGAACAATACAACTAAATTAATCTAGTCAAACAAAGAATATAGTATAGTTAAGGTACCCTTTAAGCAAATATTTATATTGGAGGCGCTCTTTCATGAAATGTTATTTCTCTTTTGCATTTTTATTTAGAATGTGTTTAAATTAAGCGTTAAAAATTTGAACTAAAATCGAATTTATTTGCTTTGTGAATGAAAGGCCTATTCAAATTAACCAAAAACTAACCGAACCGACCCATTATTTCTAATCTATCTTTGTAGCTACTGACATGTATACTGTATACATAATATGGTGGCACCCGCAACCTTCTAATCCTAGATCCGCCTCTACGTATATTGAACACAATTAATTTACAAGGGGGGTTGTTCCCTTTCTTAACTTTCCTTACAAAAAGTAGTTTAGTAATTTTGGTAAAATAAAATAAAAACTGATTAACAAAAGGGAGAATTACATAAAAATACAGTCCACCCACATACATTACAGCAGAATAACCCAGTTACAACTTTGCAAATCTGTAGCCCATTAACAATAGGTCAAATTTCAAAAAATGAGCATTTTTCTTATTATTTTTTTATTCAACAGATCTTCAAGCACGAAAATTGGGTGATTTTTTATTCTTCTTCCTCAAGTTTGTATATATCCCTATTCCATCTACAAAAAAAAAAAAAGCAAATTAATATATAATGCAACTCGAGAACCTTAAATTTTCTTCCTTTCCAAGTTTCAAATAGCAGAAATAAAAACAAAATTGAAAAAATTGTTGCACATGATTTGGGAGATAAATCAACAAGGAAAGTCGATTTATACATAGATTGTTCAAGAAAAAATAAAAATTGAACATCTGAAATTTTCAATTTTAGATTTAACTGCACATGTGCATTACATGTATAATTATGTATAACTTTGTATAAACTTGTATATACAATCTCTAATAATGTATACCAGAAAAATAAAATAAAGAAGAAAAAGAGAAGAAAGTGCTAAACTTCCATGGATGTCTATTATACACATACAATGAATATACACACTTATATATTAAAAACATAAATAATTTATACAACATCGTACGCAGATATACACGCTTACACATATTTATACAATATTGTATAAGTGTGTATAAACATTACTCGTACAACATTTACACTAAAAACACCTTCTGTTCATCACTACATTGCAACTTTGGGTGGTTGCTGGTGTTGAATTTTCCCGGCGAGGTTTTGGCATTCAAATCTGGGCTTCACCAATAGCAAAGGATGATACAAAAACTGAGGGGAAAAAAAAGGAAAATACGAGACGAGGTCGTCAGAGATACTCTTTTAGGCAAAATCTGATAGTTTTAGGCCAGATCTAATAGTTTTTGGACTGATAGGCCAAATTTATTGTGGCTCCTTAATCTCTTTTCATCAATTAACTCAAAATTCAAAACCTTATTGACATAGAATATGAGGATTAAAAAGCCCTCAAAAGCAATAAACACGTGTGTAAAAAATAATTCTGTAATTTTTAGGCAGAAAGAAGAGAGAGGCGAATGGAGAGAGATTGAGTATTCTTGGAAAGGAGAAAGAAGAAAAGAAAAAAAAAACTAGAAGTGTGTCTTTAATAATGGGCTAAAGACCGAAAAGTTTCTTTCAAATTTTATATAACCTGGGCCAAACCGGGTAAGGACTTCAAACCTAGGTCATTTTAGGTTGGGCTCTTGGGCCAAGTGACAAGAGGCGTAATTCTTCCTATATGAAATTATCTCGAAGAAAATGAGGCATATCCTAAGAATTTTGAGGTTCAATGATACTATGGAACTAGATAATATATCACATAAGTTTGTCTAGAAATATAAGCTTATCAACGCTCTTCAAAATATCTATGCTTTTTATAATATATTGTGCAAGCAGTGTTGATCTTACTTTGTTTTATTTCATTGTATTGAATAGGTACAAGGAACTTTACCAGTTAACGTTCAAATATTAAGGAATAAGCTCTTCTCGTAGTATGAGACGGAAGACAAGTTGTTTCTACCTTGGATTTCTAGCTCTCTTACTACGTAGAAGCTTCATTATGAATACATATTTGATTTGGAATTTAATTTTTATAATTTTTAAATTACAGAGTGAATTTCAACTTTGGGACTCCGAAAATTCAAAATTTTATACCTTATATTTATCACTGCTCATTACACATAAGCTTGCCATTTGAAGAGTTGTGGCACTGGGTCCTTAAGGAAGCATATTAATTTTTGTTTAAATCACACGAAGTCTATAAGGATAAAGTATTGGTTGACTTGAATATAAACGATTAGTAGTAAGATCTATTTTGACATGATTTTACTATGTTGGACCTGTTAATTCTTAGACTTTAATGAATTCTATTGCTAGAATTTCCTTGATGATCTCATTGTTGCCATAAATAATTTATTTGGATGATTATCGTAGAAATGACGAATTATTAAGCTAATTTAGCCTGAATACTTAATACTTTATATGAATGTTCATTTTTGTAAAATGAAGAAGCTCAACTTATAGGCTCAAAATCAAAAATTCAAAATAACCAAAACGATTAATGCGAAATTGAATTTAAAAGAACCGAAGCAATCAAAACTTATTTGGATTGCAATGGATTGGATTTAAATTATAATTTCTCAATCCAAACCGAAAATCTAAATCGAAGTTTTGATATTCAATCCGAACTGTCAGAACACCTACCTCTATTTCTAGCTTCAAATTTCAAAAAAAAAAAAGGAGGAATGATCTTACTCTAGTTTCATACATCATAGTGATACCGGCTGAGTTTCAAATATTTATAAGCAATAATAGTGTTCGCAAATTCTTAACTAATTAAACCTTGATAGTGTTTCACAAAACCTAACCAAGACTAAATATATGACTAAGAGAACAAAAATTTGCAAAAGGAATATTTTGAGACAGGAAACACAGATAAGAAAACCATGTAACAGTGATGAGAAGTCTGATTCACCATGAGAATACTCAAGAGTCAAGAACTTGAGAGAAAAGGTGAGGGAATGAATCAGAGTACAAAAGTAAGAATAGTCTAGAATGAAAAGAGATTGACTATTAATCTACAAGTTAATTCAGTCAAAAATGTAATGAAAACTATCTAACCAGCTAACTCATCTTCAAGTTAATTTGTCAAAAATGTTAAGTAAACTATCTAGGAAAATTTACATCCTATAAAAAAATATTACACCCTATTTATTATAAACCAAAATTATTTCAAAATATTATTACCTATAGCTACCTTTTCTATTTTATAGCAAAATAAGTATTTATTTTATACCCTACCATTAAGGCATGAAATACGCCAATTATATTCTCTTTCTTCCTTCTCTCTCAATAAGATTCTCAATCCTCTCTGTCCATAGTCATAAACCTCCAACTTCGGCTGAAGAAACGAATACATACCAAACTCTGCCTCTTGAGAAAAAGGAGAAGTAATACATACTAGTACTCCTAGTAGAAGCAGAAGGAGAGGACAAAGAAGCAACAGCAGAAAAAGATGGAAAATTAAGCAAACCTTACCGCCGATCCACAAAGAGAAGCACCCGTCAACACATTCTGTGAAATCACTTCTGCTTCCAATCCCGAAGCCCTTTTCTTCCTTGAAAGCACAACTTCGATTCCGCCGTCTCCACTTTCTTCTCTTCTTTGCTATTTAGTCACATACAATGATACAAATACATTATATTCTATACAAATATACTCAAATACATTATATTTTTTGTATAAATATATTATTTTTTTTGCCTGTATTTATGTATATCACTGTGTTTTGTTATTTTTTATTGTTTGAATACAGTCGAATTGAATGTGGTAAATTGAATACAATGTATAATAGTGAATAATGAATACATGTGAATCGAATACAATATATACAGTCGAATTGAATAGAATAGTGTACACCCTATTT